CATTTGAACCCAGGAGGCAGAGGTTGCAGTGAGCCAAGATCATGCCATTGCACTACAGCCTGGGCAACAAGAGTGAAACTCTATCTCAAAAAAAAAAAAAAAAAAGAAAGAAAGGAAAAGAATAATGAATCTCCATCCTATCCTACACCTCTAGTATCTGTATTTTGTATCCTGTATCCTTCCAGAAATGTCCCATGCTCACAAGTACTATGTTATTAAGTGTTCACACAGATCTACACATTTATGATCTTATTTATTTATTTTGTTGAGATGGAGTGTTACTCTGTTGCCCAGGCTGGAGTGCAGGGGTGTGTTCTCAGCTCACTACAACCTCCACCTCCCAGGTTCAAATGAGTCAACTGCCACAGCGTCCGGAGTAGCTAGAATTACAGGTGCCTGCCACCATGCTTGGCTAATTTTTTTGTATTTTTAGTAGAGATGGGGTTTCCCCATGTTGGCCAGGCTGGTCCTGAACTTCTGACCTCAGGTGATCCACCTGCTTTGGCCTATCCCAAAGTACTGGGATTACAGGCATGAGCCACTGCGCCTAGCCACCTGATCTTATTTTTTAGCATAGAAGCAACCTGCACACCTTTCATTCTATTTTTCTTGTCATTATCCATTTAATTCCAACTTTCAAAGAAGAGACTACATTCAAAATGCCTTGTATAGCACCTGGCAAAAACAGATATGTTCAACAAATGAGTCCTCCCTTGTGCCCTTGGTTATTAGGCAATTTCATTACAAAAGTATAGTATATGGTGGGATTCCCAGACAGAGATTATAATTGTGCTATGTTTTAAAACATGTGTTTGGTTTTTTACCTGCACTACCTAAATAGGTGTCAAAAAGTTACCTTTTATCTGTCAATGCCTTCCTTCCGCACCCAACACCCACACACACACCCCTCCCCACAACCCGTGCATGCTTTGTAACCATGAAGGATGTTGTAATGTGCACAAGCGGGAATGTACAGATCCTGTGATGATGACATGGATATTATCAATGCACGTGTTTCTTTTTATGCTTAATATGTTTAGGACATAGCAGGACAGATCTATTCTATTCCTCCTAATGACAACGTAGAATTCTATTATATGGGTTACTACTGGCTAATTTAACGGCCACATTGCTGACCATTTACAATTTTACAAATAACTTTCAACTGTTTCAATTCTTCCTAGATGGAAGACAAATGGCAGTAGGGGAGTTTACACATTATCCCAACCAGACAGGCGAAGAAGAGGAAGGGGGTTTGTTTATTTTTATGGAATGGTTTTTAACATGTTCTCTTTCTGTCCTTTAGTGTGGGCCAGGAGGGGGCCAGAGGTCCAAGATCTGGTCCTGTTCACTCACTGTGCAGCCTCAGGGAGGCCCCCTTCCCTCTCTGGGCCCCATCCTCCGTTCCCTTTAAGAGGCTAAACAAGGTGATAGAACAGGTGCCTCCTGTTCTAAAAGTCTGTCCCTGATCTGCTGCCTGAAGGATGCATTTCTGGGTGGTGCCCATCTGTGTCACTCACACCCACACAGCTCTGCCCCTCGTTGGTGGCCACTCCTGAAAGGACAGGGGGATGGTGAGTGGACTATTCCTCTGAGCTTCTGGCTGTGGCCCGGGAAGGTAGGTGACTCTCTGCTCTTTTCCGGGCCTGTGCGGTGAGAGCCCAAAGTCCCCTCTCTCTCTCTATCAGGAGTAGGGCCCTGGACACTGCTACTTCTCCAAGCTACCCAGCTGATTCTAGTTCCAGCCGGTGTTGGTAACCTGCTCTGGACCCAGCCTTCCATTTGACTGAAATAACTGCTGACGTTCCATAGCCTTTCCACGTGTCACACATTATGCTAAATGTTTTGACAACAGCATCTCCTTTGGTTCTCACAGGAGCCCTATAGACAGGCAGGCACTGAGGAAACTGAGGATTAGAAGGGTTACATGGCTTCTTAAAGTTAAACAGCTAGTAACAGCTGGAATCCACATACACATCAGTCTGACCAAATCCTTCATTCTTCAACTGTCTTCTACCCTGAGGAAACCACTGCCCAGCGAGCTGATAAGGTCCCACAGGCCAACAGGGCAGAGCTAGTACCAGAGGCCACATCTCCAGGGCCCATGCCCTCGCTCTCTGCCCATCCTGTGACTCCCTAAGGCGGGCCAGTGCAGGTGGACTGCAGCAGCAGGCCTGGTCTGCACAGAGGGGTGGTGGCCAAGGAGGCTCGCCAGGGCTTCCTCCCACTCATCAACATCCCATTTGTGCCTCTGAGCAGCGTTCTGAGCTGTGAATTCACTCTGCGGTTCCACGGTAGTTAAAGTTAGGTTGCTATGGGCTCCTTCCCCAAGGGGGAGCCTCAGCAGCCAGCCCCGGAGGAAGCTGCTGATCCGCTTAGAGTTGGAGCCCTCCTGTCCAAAGGCCACCTGCCACACAGGGCACAGATGGCTTTCAGGTTGTCTTGGGAAGCCCCTCATCCCTCCAGATCCAGCTCAGTGATCGGAGTGTGAGGGCAGGATTTCCTCTGGTCAGAGGATCCCTCTGAAAGCTGGCACCGAGGTTGTGATGAGAGTGAATCCTAACAGCTGTACCCTTGGCTAGCACTTCCTGCCTTCTCAGAATACCTTCTCCTTCAGGGCCTCCTGGGAGAAGCTGGGAATCTCAGTGGCCTGGGGCCAGTCAACCTGCTTCCTCAAACCTTGAGGGCTATGCTCTTCAGGGGGTACTTAACTCAGGGAACCTCAGTACCTCCCTCCATAACATGGCGGGTAATCGTTCAAACTGACTGAGCACCTGTGATGTGCTGGATGTTATTCTAAATTTTCCATGGATTATCTCATTTCACCTTCCCATATACTATGATGTCAGCACGATGCTCTTCCTCATCAAATGGACCTAATAAGAAAACCTATCTCACAGGGTGTTCTGAGGATTAAATTCATTGCAGAAGTTAAGCTTTTAACCAGTACCTTAAATTACCTAGATTATCATTCCACTTGAAGAAGTTTAATGATGTGCCCCAGGTGATGCACTCAGTAAATAGTAACAGGGCTAGGATTTGAACCTGGCATTTGGATTTGCGTTCTTGCTCCTAACCACTTCACTCACTCTCCTTTCCTGCCTTGACCAGGAAATGCAGCCATCCTTAGGGACAGGCCAAAAGGGTTGAGCTCCCTTTTAGAACAATGAATGGGACAAGAAGGCCACAAAGAAATATGGTTTGGCAGGAGGCAGGCAGGGCCAGGCCTTGGAGGGGAGGTGAGGCTTTGAGGCCTGCAAACGCAGGAGTGTACTCATCTCTATAAATATCAGCTGTGGGGTTCCCTGTTTGGCCTCAGTGACTGGGGTGTGGCATCCCAAAGCTGCTGCTATCACATGATCAGAGCAGGTCCCTGGCCCCAAGGGCTCTAAAAGGACACTTTTGGATTTACAAACAGTCGGGCAAGATTGTCCTTCATGAGAAAGATTCCACCCTGATTGGGAGACCCCATTTATCTTTGCTTGCCCGGGCAGCTGACCTAGTGAATGTGTGGATAAGAAGCCCTAAGCAGGGCTCTGCAAGGGAGCAGCAACAGTGGATTGCGGGAAGTAGGGATCAACAAAGGCTCCAGGGACAGCTGAAACAGAGAGGGCTGAAAAGAACCATTCTGAGGCAGCCTCAAAAACGCCCAGAATGAACAGGGCCAAACAGCAGTGATGAAGGATCGTCCTCACACAGGCATCTCAAATTCCACCCCTGAGAGGGACGTGGTGTTCTCAGCAGACGAGCGGAGGCTTCCCAGCCTAACAGGGTGGCTTCCGGAG